ACCTGGAGTCATCATACATGACTGTACTCAATGGAGACTAACGCAACTCTTTCATGTGGACATTTTTTTCTTTTCTTTTTTTTGATTCTCTTGAAAAACCATTATACTTGTATCATGCTTACCCTGGATACCAATATAATGGAACCTGAGATTGTGCCCTTGTGGCGGCTCTGACCTGGCCATGTTTGGGTACTGTAACACAACAGCTGTGTACAGTTCACAGTCCTCATGAACCATGGCAGAGTGGCCCCTCTGGCTATCATCTGAATATTACATGACATATTTTTACAAGCAAAGTACCTCTTGGGTAGCCCCATCAAGCATAGGATGCAGAAGCAATTAAATTTGCTTAGATTTTCATGTATTATATATTTTGGTTTGGCACATTCTAAGTTTACTTCTTTCTCAAGAGTTTTTCAGATCCCCATCCATATGGATAAAATGACTGATTGCTAGATAGATCAAGTTTTAAATTAACAAAATTTGATAGCATTCCATTTTGTAAACTATCCTCTTCTTCGTTCCTTTAACTTTTAAGTTCCTGCTTTGAATGTAACTTAACCCTGTAACATTCTTTCATTGTAAGTTCCCCATTCCTTTCATGGTCAGATCCCCTCCCTCTCAGCTGCTCCCACCACATTTTAGCTCACAGTCTAGTCCCAGCTATCTCCTTTACCTTCTTTATTGCAGTCTTGCAAATTATTTATATTTCCTTTTTCTTCTAAACATAACCCCTAAATTTTGACTGTCTACAGCAGAGTGGTACAGTCCTGCCCTTTCCTTGCCATCTTCAGAAAAATACGCTTCACACCTTTCTTTAAAAACAAAGGCTGGCCAAAGATTGTTGTACCAAAAAACCAGCCAGTAATCTTTCTCTCATCTGTCAAAAACAGGAGCTTGTACCATTAAATGAAAAATGTAATGTGCTATAACAGAATGATATTCCACACCATAACTATCCAGGCCACTATCAAGAGACAACTCTCAAAAGCTCCATGCATTGCTGAAGAATTTATTTGGTGGTGGGAAAAAACTTGAGCTGTTTATACTACCCCTCATTAAAGGCAGGACTACAGTGAATGAGTGTATATTTAGGATATGTAATGTCTGGTTGTTCTCGTTGTCTCATAATCCATGTTAATAAAATTTGTGCTAAAAAAAGAAGAAGCAAGTTTTGACCCGCCATCTCCCACAATGAAAGCAGGATCCTTACCAGCCCAAGGAGGAGGCATCAACCCGTTAACGATGCGCCGAGAAACATGGACCTCCTTCCATCTATTATCACCATCATAATCTAGAAACATGGATATGGGGATACAAACCTATGGTTCTGCAAAATGTAGTTCCTTTCCCAAGTTCTGCAAGAAGAACCCTGTGGCTAGACACAAAGCTTGGTTTCGCATGCTGAAGACACAGATCTTAACCGTGTTACCTATTGCTTGGCTGTTGCTGCTCAATGTTACAATATTCAAAATAAAGTTTATAGTCATGAAAACGTTGATGGCTACACATCACACAACACAATAAAACTATACTAGAACTATATCACAGTGAGAAGCTGATCGTTTTACCTGGAGATATTTGACAACGGTATTTTAATTATTAGGTAACACTTATACTTTACCTGACTGGGCACAAATACTTAGTAATAACTCAGTTTCTACTCAAGTACAAATTATGAACAAATCAATATAGTCACTACTTGAAATAAAAGATTCATCACACTTCATTAATGATGAACAAACATGAGGTTAGTATTTCACTACTTGTTCCTTTAGTAGTACCTTCGGTAGTTTACAGAATTAACAGATATATTGCCAATATAGTAACTGTTTGGGATGAAAGAGGCATCATGATTCATTAATGATGAATGAACATGAAATCACTATTTAACTTATCACGACTTGTTCCTTTACTAGTTCCTTAATTAGTTCACAGAGGTTTACAGAATTAACAGATATTGTAACAAATATAGTAACTGCCTAAGATAAAACATGCGTCACAAGGCATTAATGCTGAATGAACATGAGATCAGACTTAGTTAATGGTTAATTAATACATACAGAATAGTATTTTATTTGTGCCCCGTCAAGTAAAGTGTTACCAATTATGAATTATAACATATACTGTGTAAAAATTTGTTGCAAATAATTCCCATTTTTAGTTACTCATCATACCTTTCTATAATATGCCTGGTTGTGGCAGAAACCATAAACTAAAATTTGGAAAAGATTCTTTATTTGTCTCAAGAAAATGTTAATTTGTAAGAGAAAACTCCTTGCTACACCTGCACAACAGATCCAAGAACTAGTCATTGAGGATTGGAATGAGGTTCCATATCGGCCCCAATACTGGTGCTAGTGACTCCTTCCCATTTCTAGGCAGGACATCCTGGAGTCTTTATGAGGAGTTTTAAATGAAAAGATGACAAGGGAGAGTTTTAATGTTTTAATGCAGTGTACATGGGGTGTAATGATTTAATGCAGTGTAGGTGGGGTTTAATGTTTTAATGCAGTGTAGGTGGGGTTGCACTGAGGTGTAACTATCACTTCTACAATTTGTGTAATTGTTTTTTTTGTTGAAGTATAAAACTTACATAACTCTTTATATCCCATATGAGAGTGGGACAGTGCGAATGTACTGTGCCTTTAAATTAGCATTTAATAGACTCATTAATTATGAGAAACCCCTTAAAGTTTCATCATCAATCTTAAAGTTCAAATTCCAAATGACTTGTCACCCATATGAACTATGATATACAAATCAAAACTGTTGACTATCATGTGAGTATTTTTGGTTTTGTATAGATTTTGCTCTTTTAATGGCACTGAAGTCTTTGAAAACTTGTCTGGGTTTTTACTGTTAAAGTCAAGACATAGCCAAGAATAAAAATTCTGATTATAGATGCTCAAGTAAGACATTAAAATACATCATATAACTCGTTTTATTTGAACAATTATAAATATTCAAATGTACACACGCTCAGTAAACATTTGACTGAAGTTTCTCACTCTATGAATTTTAATAATAATGAAATATTGGATCATGTGATTCTGGTTAATATCATTTAATTAAGTGATAGAGGAATTCAGATATTTGCTTCCCTGCATGTGTCTGGTTTGCTCATGAATATCTAATGATCAGATGTGTTTTTGCTATGAGCAATTTGTAAAACCCTGATCATCAGCTAACCACTTGGTAAAGTGTTTCAGACGGTTACAGCGTGGTATCTGCCATTCCTGGTTTTACCTATTAATAAAAATGCAAGACTAGCAGGAGTCTTGCAACAGTATACCAATGACATCTGTGTGCTGCAACAGAGATAAACTAGATCCTAACCACAGGACCTAATTTTAATTGTCAGTCACATTGTTTTAATGAACAGTTTGGATTAGTCTAATTCAATTAAACTGTTATGACACTGAAGCATGTGCAGTCATCTTTAGAGAGAGAAAAGAACCTACCTTTATCATTGAATAACTGATAAACACACACTTTTCCAGTGAAATACAATTTCATTTAATAATGTTTAATCTTATCAGTCTTGCTATTATGTATCTTAATCTTACTATATATATGTAAGATGTATATTAATAAGGATATATTAATGATTGACATTATAATATTGCTAATATAGAGTAATTACATTTTTAAAATAAATTATTGATATTGCAAAGTGGATTGATGTTCAGTTTATTATGTTCTGCAGGTCTTGTGCAGAATTAAATCTCATCACATTTTTTTGTAATTCGATTTCATTGTCTCTTTATTTCAATAATTGTTGTGTTAATGTCTCAGTTGTAGATGCCTTATTTGAAGTTAATATCATTTAGTTATTGGTATTTACAATTCTTTTAATAACTAATAATATTAAGCTCAATTAAGGCATGTACGCTTGAGACTTTCTTTATGATAAAAATAATGCAACTGTGAGCAATATAGGAGGCTCAGTGTAACATACCAGAGTAAGGGGCTGACTGACATGACCAAATAGAGCAGAGTGTTTTTGCTGAGCAACCACAAAGCTTCCTATAAAAGCAGCACCTTCAGACCAAGAAGCGAAAACCATCCAGCACAGGTATGTACTGTATGTGGTCATGTCAAGCTGTAACGTGTCCAAATCAAACTCACCTACAGGAAAGGCATCCTGTATTTTAACTGCTTAATTTTTCTTTTTCAGCGCCCAACACCGAAACCTCAGCCGGCATCAAAGAAGGTAAACTGCTGCTTGTAGCCAGTCATAAGATTCACTTTAATAGTAGCCAAATTGTGAAATGTGCCATGAATTTGCAAATTCTATGCAGCCAGGACTTGACATGCAGTTAAGATAAAGTTCCTGTTTCATGTGAAATTTATAATGTGTTTATATTTATTTAAAAAAAAAAACATTCAGATATTTCATTGAAACAAGGTTCAGCCTCGAATCCCAAACATCCAACTTATTTTCTTAACATTTTAGCAATATTAAATGAAACAACAACTGAAAAGGATGCATTGTTTAGGTTGCTAATTGTTAGATTTTTTTTTTTAATTGTTCTGCATTTTAAACTTTAATGTTAAATGATTATTATATGAAACTCTCATGGAGGAAATAACTAGCAATTATCTAAGGTCCATGAGAGTAATTTCTGAGATATATGTCTGACTTTAAATGGGCACTGAGAAGAATATTTTACTATTCCTATATCGGAATAGTATCAGAAATCCAGCTGTTTTATATTTGTGATCAATTGATCACATAATAGAGATACAAAATACATAGCTATCTATGACGTTAACAACAACAAAAAAACCCTGCAACATTGATTAAAGCCAAGGACATGTCCCAACCAATATTGTGGAGAACTGTGTGTATGAAGGGGACGGGGGGACTAATTTGGTTAATACCAATGACAAAAACAAACCTACACCTTTGATTAAAATCAAGATATTACATTGTCACAATCATTCTACAGATAATTCAGAATAATATCTTCACTAATTTCAACTGTCTAATTTGTCAGGAAACTGTCATCATGGGGGATGGAGAAATGGAGTGTTTTGGCCCGGCGGCCATTTACCTCCGGAAGCCAGAGAAAGAGAGGATTGAGGCCCAGAACAAACCCTTTGATGCCAAAACGGCCTATTTTGTGGCTGAACCAAAGGAGATGTACCTCAAAGGGGTTCTTCAAAGTAGAGAGGGGGGCAAAGCCACTGTTAAGACTTTGTGTGGGCAAGTAAGTACAACTGTGTACCTAACAGATTAATTACAGATCATTAGAACAAAATTATTAGGCTTTTCATTTTAAAATATGTCCTACTTGAACTATGGTAATCAATTATAAAGCAATTCATGTACAGTC